AATTCTGGACCAGAAAAGGGCCCAACTCACAACAAATTCGAATTTTGCAAACTTAGCCAAACCCTCTAACCAAAAATCAAGTCAAACAAATTTCCTGCCCTCCAACCTTTCCAAGGATATAAAAACAAAGCCTGAAAAAAGAGGTGTGTCGCCTTCTGTCAGGTCAACAATTGCAGCTCAAATTCCAGGATTTTCCAATGACACGCCTCCTAATCTTAGGACAGATCGTGCAACTTCTGCTACTAGGGGCAGACCTGTTGCAGCCAATCCAACGGCGTCAGTTCGTCAAAAACAAGACCCCGCTCCAAGGCCACGAAGGCAATCCTGCTCACCAAGTGTGACAAGGGGTCGAAAAGAGAGCAATGAAGAAAACTTGACCACTTCAAAAGGGATAATTGTAACAGGAAATAATGGAGCTCAAATTTTCGGAAGCAGAATGGTAGACAAGGTAATGAATGCTAGAAAATTGGGAGCTGAGGAAAGAGAAGCCAGGCCAAAGCAGCAAGGTGCTACTAAATCTGCTAATAGTAGTGCTAATGCAAGTCCTAGTCATGGTTTTGGCAGGATGATGGTGACGACTAAGAGTCAAATGGACATGGCTTTCAAGCATATGGTATGGTCATATAGCACATGGTAGGATCTAGCTCTTTCTCGAGAAAATTGACACTCCGTATATTAATGTAATACTTTGTTGGTTTGCAGGTGATAGCAAAAGATCGGATCAATTCTCGTCACCTTGGCATTACCTCTGGCAGAAGCTCTGGCCAGAATGAGCTCGACTAGAATCAAACGTTTGTTATTTGCATATGTATATGTAAAAGCTAAGAAGACATGCTAAACTTATAGAATTCTGGGATTTTAGGAGAACTTGTTAAGTAATGATATATACTTTACGAAGCTTTTTTTCTTAACAAAAAATAAGTTTTCGGAGCCAAAACTTTTGTTCTTTTGTTTTTCTACAAGTCCATGAAGCATTTAATTTTTAAAGTGGGTGAAATTTTATTTTTGTTGCGGCAAATATATCCTTGAAATTTTGATATCAGTTGGAAAATTCATTCTGTAATCCGGATTGCTGCCCTGAAATCACTTGTTAGTTCTTGAAATGGAAAAAGGGCAGGAAGGCCTAATTGCTTATGTAAATCATCCCTGCAATGAATTTCCTTACTGGTCTCCGCACGGTTTGTGTAATAAAATGGTGGCCGGTGACCGTAAGAGGAGAACCGCGTAGTACCAGGTTCCTAGGTGAAATTAATTAGGAACGCAACCACTGACCCAGATACCGATCTACTGCTGGATCATGCAAAGGCAGATAAAAAAAACAAAAAAAACAAAAATAGTGTTGTATTTAATGTTTGTGTTGTTTTTATATATAATTTAATTCAAAAGATGGGGGTGGATGATCAGTTTACTTCATTTATTTCAACAGCATTTATTTTTTAAAATGTTATTTATTTAAAAATGTATTAAAATAATATTTTTAAAAAATTTTAAAATTTATTTTTAATATTAATATTTTAAAATGATAAAAAACATAAAAAAAACATAATCACACCACCACAATAACAAACACATTTTTAAAATTATAATAACAATTAGTTCATTGTGTTTGTTTTGGACTTTTTGCTTTTGGGTTTTTTTTGGAAATGTAATAAAGGTTGCATTTTTAAATGTTGTTTACTTTCAAATACATTAAATAAATTTTTTATTTTTAAAAATTTATTTATAATATCAGCACATTAAAACAATATTAAAAAATTAATTTAAAAAAATAAACAAACAATATTTTAACAGCATTGCCAGACTCTTCATTGTCTCCCTTGATGAATGGGTGTGATCTTTTTAACACGCTGCTGTAGTTTTGCACCATGATGTGCAAAGGGTCTCGTACGTGCCTGGTAAGAGTACCAGGTCTCCTCCTGCTACCTTGCTGCAAGCGTATCTATCCATTTATTAAGGAATTTCGGTTTAATTATTAAAAAAAATTGATAATAATAATAATAATAATAATAATGAATTTTATTATAATTGAGATAAACTGATCACTTTGTCCCTATATTGTCCCTCTTCATCCCTGACAAGTACTGGAGTGTGAAACCGAGCGATTGAATTCTTGTATGCTCACATATTCTCCGATGGTCCTTTTTTGTTATTTCTTATGACAAAGATGTCCCTCGGGATTAAACCAAAAGGAAAAAGGAAGAGTAACTTTTCGGTTTTTTATCGGGGGTTTTCAAGTAATTTACCTTTTCTTCATACTTTAAAATGGGTTTAGGCTTTATAATTAAACACGCCTGCAAGATATTCAATTGTTTGATTTTAAGGCTTAATTAGAGATATATTTTTAAATAGGCTCACTGCTCACTGCATGTATAAGAATTAGCAGATTGATAATCATTATATATGTGAACAATTTTGCAGCACTATTTTATTCGGCCAAATTTATTTGTATTAATTTTTTTATCAATACGAGTATTTGGATCAATTTACATATATTTCAATTAATTTCATAAATTTTAAAATTAATAATTATATAAATATTTAATAAACTTGAAATTTATAAAACTTAAATTGATAATTTTTAAAGAGTAAATTTAACCTAACCAATAATCTATTTATATTTATTTATTTATTTTAACAAATTATTTCATATGTAAATGCAATTACTCAGCAATATTTCTTAAAAATAAATTATGTACACAGGCAACACTCGCAGCATTCTCTCAATGTTTTTCAAAGATAAAATATTTTTAATTAATAAAAAATTATGAGAAGAGCATTAGATTTCATTAGATAGGTTTCCTCTTAATTAAATCATGGTCCGCCTGTCAACTTGTACATAAAATAGTAAATATTGTGCACGGTCTGCACAGCATCCAACCACCCTGAGTGTGGGTCAGTGGTCGACGCTTGGTTTGAATTTCTCTCTTGTTCTCCGTTTCGTGGTTGGGGACCATGGCAGGATCGGGAGGCAAAGTTCAGGCACGTACACGTCATGTACAGATTATTTGATATTCTGGATTTATTTTTTTTGGTTCGCACTTGAAACTACGTGACAGATTTTACGGTGCTTAAAAATAGTTGCCTTCTATTATTCATTTAATTAAATTAATTTTATAGAAATTAATAAATATCAATGAAAAAAAATGTTAGATGAAGATATTTTTATTATTTTAATGAGTAATTTATTTTTTTTCACTCATGTTTGTCTTTTTTAAAAAAAAAAAATTATTAAATAACTGATAGGATATTATTTATTATAGTTTAAGTATTGTAAAATTTTTTCCAAAATTTTAAAGTTACTAGTAATATCTTATTAATTATTCTATATCATCTACTTTTATATATATATATATATAATTCATGGATTGTTAAAAATAATAATTATTTTATATTTTATATTTTTTGTTATTGTTTATTTATTTTAAATAGACCTTGAAAAATAGTTAATAAACAACAGTGGTTATCTCCTGTGTAAGTTAGAGCCTAGTTGTTAAACTTTAACCAGATCAACAAATTGATTTAGAAACTAAATAATATAGTGGTTGGATTAGTTTGGGTAAGGTAAAAGACTAATATAAACAAAAATTCAATAAAATATGATTGCCCGGTTACTTGTTATTAACCTTTTTAAAAAATTTACTATATATATGCTAAAAAAATATTTTATTTTTTTCAAAGTAGAATTTAAAACTCTTTAATATATATATATATATATATATATTTTGCTCACAAGAAAAAAAAAATTAATGTGAAATAAATTTTTTTAATTAAAATACTTTAATTTTAAAAGTTAACACAACATCTTTTTAATATAAAATAATTTTTTTAAATAATTTTTTAAATTTAATTTATTTATAACATGTATAGTCTTTATTTATATAAATTATTTTTTATTTTTTTATATAAAATATTTTAACTTTAAATATTTATTTATTAAAATTTTTCTAATTAATTTAAATTAACTTGTATGATTCAAGACCAACTTTTTAATGGTTCAACTTAATTAGGTTTGATGACAATGATTGTGAGGGTATAATTTGTCGAGTATTTGGCGAAGCAATTTACCAATAAACAAAAATGATCGCAATGTGTCAATGAAAGCAAATGGAAGCATTTCATCATGATTCCACTCAAGCATTGGTACTTAGACCATAGTTTTTAAACCCGGCCTGGTGACTGATCCGGTTTAAGACTCGGGTTCCGGGTTTTGACCGGGTCATCAGGTTTTGACCGGGTTGAACGGGTCGGCCGGGTCAATTTCTATTTTAAAAAAAATTCAAAACGACGTCGTTTTAATAAAAAATAAATAAAAGTCAACTGGTTACCACCGGGTTTTTGACCGGGTTTTTTCAGGTCGTCCAGGTTTCCGGGTCAACCCGCCGGGTCGGCCGGGTCCTGGGTCAACCCGCCGGGCCGGGCCAGATTTTAAAACTATGCTTAGAACAGAAGGGGAGGACACGTGCTCGATCAGCTGAAAGGCCAGCTAGTTAACTAATAAAAACTCTTCAATAATACTAGGAGGTTAATTTAATTGATTAAATATTAAATATATTTAAAAAATTACTAGTTTAAATTTATTTTAAAAAGATTACTAATTTAAATATTATAAATTTTAGAATTATTAGAGATTTATTTGATTATTAACAGATTAAATTTTAAATTTATTTTCAAAATATTATTAGTTTAAGTATTATAAATATTAAAATTATTAAAATTTACTTGACAAATAATTATAAAATTTTAAAAAATTAATTAAGATGTATATAAATTATTCTGGATATTATAATTTTTTTTAAAAAAACTCTCTTAATATAAATAAGAAATGATGGTACTAGATACTAGGAGTGTGCGCTGCAGAGAGATCAAAGGTCATGTCAAAGCAACAGAACATGCTCCAAATCTCTGAAAGGAGTCAGTAGGGCTGGAAGGGAGTGGGGTAATAGTAATAATAACAAAAACAGACAAACACACCTCCCCTCTCGCTCTCAATCACTCACTCACTTCCCTCCTCCCCCTCTCTCTCTCTCTCTACATTTCTATCTCTCTCTCTAATTCACTCACTCATAGCCTGTTTTTGCTTTCTCTCCGTCTCCTTAGCCTCTGCTTCTGGGGGCACCTTCCCCTTCTACCTCGCTGATATCACCTCCCACACACCACTCTCTCTCTCTACTCTCTACTTAAGTGCAAGACTCACACGCACACGCACACGCTCTCTCCTTTTCTTCCACTTCTCCCCCCCGTACCTTAGCCGTGCCTACGTGCTCATCGTCATCATCTTTATATGCATATTATCCGTCACTTGTTGCCGGCTAAGAAATTGAGAACAGATAAAGATCCCAGAAGAGAAGAAAAATGTGCATGAGCCCTTTATTATCATCTCTGTCTTGTTGCATTAGCACATCATTTTCACTACAGGCGTAATAAGGAGAGGAGGCATTCTTCTTTCATTTTTTCAACTTTCAACTAGCAAGGTAATTCTCATTCGAAAAAATTGATAAGGAGGAGGAGGAGGAGGAGGAGGAAACTACTCAAAATCTTTGTGTAAAGCTTTGCTTTGAAGGATCGTTTCTCTTCCCCCTTTTCTCTTCTCCTTTCTTTGATAGCGAAAGATCATCCTCTTCATCCATCAATAATGGTTGTAAAGGGTTAAAGAAAGAACGAAAAGTTTGACTGAAGAAATCGAGGTCACGCACCCAGAAGCAGTACTAGTACTATCATATGCATCGTTTTCTATATCTTTTAAAAAAAATCCAAGCATGATATATTCTATGAATTGAACTCCCTAGACAAAGAGAATAGAATTAAGGAAATTCTTCATCCCAAGATCTCCCGCAGACGGGGTCAGAGTTTTTTTTTTTCAAGCTAATTCTTCCCATTTATATCTTTATGATATCTCCTTTTCATCGAATATATATATGTTTCATTTCATCTACCTAGCTAGATAGCTGCTTTTTATATAATATATTGTTTTACTATATATATATATATATATATAATTTATTATGCGTTCATCCCAAAGTCTTTCCACACACCTCTCTCAACCTTAAAAAGTATCTAGAGAAAATGAAGAAGCAAGCAATCAGAAGCTAGAAATCCTAGAATATGATAGCTAGCATTTGTATGAAATTCAAGCGAGATCTACTCGATCCCCAAATCTTTCCATCGAAAACAGTGAGACCCGAAACGTTTGCCACACGAGATCCAATCCACAAAAACTCAACTACTAAAATCAACCTCCCCTAGCTCTCTCTTCCTTTTTTTCCTTCCATCAGCCCCCTTCGGCCTCCTCAAACCCTACAACCAGCTCCCCTTAAACATCACCTTTTCTTTTCTTTCTGTGCAGTTCCATTTGCTGATGCAACTACATAGGTTTTTTTATAGACATAAACATTCATAAATAGATACAGAGAGATAGGGGACATAGAGTATATTATTTGGTAGCCGTAATTTTCTAAACTAGAAGATTCCATCAGTTGCTTAATTTATGCAGATAGACATATTTTGACCATGTATGTAACTATTGTATTACATACTGGCCTTTTTGAGCTAGATCTTTGAATCTCCGGCCAAAAGCAGTAGGATTGTTTTGATTCCTCAATCAGAAGAGTAAACCAGTAATTACAGGGCACAGATCCTGAAAAGGGTAATCTTTCCATTTTCAAGAGTCCTATATGCAGCAACTTTGTTCCAACGTATTTATTTGAAGCTGTCAACTTACCATTTTTTGTGTTCTTCTTCCGTTTCTTTCTTTCCTTAGTTAAATTCTTTCTTTACATTTTTTAGATCCCATCGTCTAAATAAGTACACCCCAAACCCTAAAAGTAGGATTCGCAGCCGCACCGCTACTTGTATCTTCAAGATTTTATTAATGTGTATTCCATCATCTAACAATTCATTTCTTCTTCTTCTTTTTTGTCAACCTTAATTGGGTCGTTTTTTGTGCTTCACCTAGCTAGCTAGATACCAGGCATATTACACACTCTTCCCTGAACGGTTGCTTTTATGTCAAATTAAGAACAAAAGTCCTCAAATTTCTCAAGTTGGCGTTTACTGATTATTGCTCCCTCAAGCCGTACGTACGTTATGGTATTTGATATAACTTGTTGTACACACAGAAAATCACGCCTCTTTATTCTTCATTTATTTGTCAATTTATTTAAGTACGAACTAATGGCTTTTGATATTTTGATGAGTTTTTTTTTTTCTTTTTTTTCATGTTTTGGTTGCATTTCAGAGGAGAAGGTGGAAGATGGCTTCGTCGTCGAATTCTCCGTGTGCTGCCTGTAAGTTTCTGCGCCGTAAATGTCAACCTGAATGTGTCTTTGCTCCCTACTTCCCACCTGACCAGCCACAAAAATTCTCTAATGTCCATAAAGTTTTTGGGGCAAGCAATGTCACAAAACTTCTCAACGAATTGCACCCTTCTCAGCGTGAAGATGCTGTCAATTCTTTGGCCTATGAGGCTGAAATGCGCCTCCGTGACCCAGTTTATGGCTGCGTTGGAGTCATTTCACTCCTTCAGCACCAACTTCGCCAACTGCAGATAGATCTTAGCTGTGCAAAATCAGAACTCTCTAAATATCAGAACTTGGGCATCACTGGCCAAGCTGGATCACTAATTGCGGCCGCAGCTGCAGCGACAGCCACGGCAACAACACATCACCACCACCATCCGCAAAACCTTGGGATCAATTTGATTGGAGCTGGAGGTGGAAGTAGGGATCACCACTACCACCACCAGTTTTTTCCAAAGGATCAGCAACAGATGATGAGAAGCTTCGATGCTGGGAATAACTATGATGCAAGCCTTCTTGCAATGAATGTATCTGCAAGCATTGGACAACTTAGTCATTTCCAGCAACCTAGAGCGGCTGCTGGGGATGACCCCTCTTAGGGTTTATCTTCCGCAGGTAATTAAAATGTTCATTTGCCTCCTCCTATCATGGTTTTGCTTTTTTCTTGCGTTTTATCAGAATTTGTGGTGGATAAGTATTAGTAGTAATAACAATAATAATTACTAAATTAGGGTGGCGCATTTTTGAAATAGAGTTCATGAAACTAGGGTTGGAATATATTAATAAATTAGAAGATAACTTCTTGGAAAATAATATGTTTTTAGGTTGACATGGAAATTTCCCTCAACTCCAAGTTTTGAAATTTTGACTGAGTAAAAGGCTGATGAAACAGAAAGATAAAAGTTGTCACTTGCTGAGAAATTGAAAGGGTGTTCTCTTTTGTTGGTTCATTAGAGGTTTCTAATTCTCATAGGATTAATTATCCTAGTTTACATGTCATGCTATGCTATGTTTTGGATCAAGAATTAGTTTGAATATAAAAAAATCCTAATCCTAGAGAATTATATATTATTTTTATTAGATTTATCATGAAGATTCAATCTTAAAACCTTTTTATTTGAATTTTTGCCTAATATCTAGATTTAAAATTAAATAATATTAGAGTTGTCTAACATAATCAATTAACTTGTTTAATACAAAAATAACCTATTATATAATTTTTAAAATAATATAAGGGGAAAAAAAAGGAGGCAGGGGCTTAAAAAACTGTTTATATGATATGAAGATCCATTAAGTTGTTTTTGGTTTTTTTTTTAGTATAGTGGCATAATATGATAAGTGTTTTCCCGACATTTTTTTTTTTTAAGAAAGCACAATTCTACCGAGACTTGGAATTATTTACTCAAGTAGTCGTGGTATGGAATGTGGAGTTTTTACTCGGATATAGTGAATTATTTCAAATGTATTTATTTAATTCAGTTTAATTCTTCAGTAGAAATTAGAGCATGATTCCAACTGGGATTTTTACTGAACCACAAGCTAGACATCGATTCACAGGAGCAAACACTGTCCTCCTCTGTTGACCAAGGTGCCTTATACCAAGTATTCTCTCTACGAGTCGAGTTAATTATAGCTGTCAAATAATGTTGGATTCATGTACACTGTTTTTGGTCCACTGTACGTTCAAACTGTAGAAGTCTCAGACTTGCTGTGTCCTACTCCAGAATCAGCCTTCATTCATCAAACGCCCACGATTGCGTGAACCAGTTAACTATCATCTCATGGAACTCAAATTTGACACCACATATTCATTCATCGCATAGAACGATTTAAAAATGTCAGCACACGCAATAATTTGCTACCAAAAAGTCTATATCAAGCTCTCTTGATCAACGTTTTTCTTTTCTTTTGGCGTATATGCAGGGCTCCACATCGAAGGGATTTACTCTAGAAAAAAAAGGCAAGAAAATGATGGGATATTCTATCTCGATCGAATGAATACCACCTCGTCATAGAAATTTTTGCTGTGCATTGTCTCAGTTTATATGTTTGTGTAACCCTCTCTCCCATTCCGCACTTTTATACTGCCCCTACAAAGCAAGATATATATATATTTTTGCCATGCCAAGAATGGAGGGACGTACTTAACTCTTCCAGTCTCACAGTTGCTAGCATCATTAGTTTGCGGGGTGGTTTTGCCTCTTACAATCTGCCATGGCTGGCAGGCATGGTCTGTTTCCATCCTTTGAACCTTTCTCTGTTTAAACAGTGAGCACAGGCAGCAATTCTATATATCTGTAATTTTAATCATGTTTTTCCTTTCTTTGGTCTACCATTTGATGCTTCTGTCATGAATTATTGTTGAACATGGTTGCTTTAAGTGATGACTCCTCAATTTAAGCTAGTTCGGAATCCCATGTGAAGCTTGTTACCTCTCGTACGTACTTGAGGTGATAATGACATGAAAAAATCACGGTAAAGATTCTATGTAAGTTAGCTTTGATGAACAAACCTTGATTTAAAAGTATATTAAAGGTATAATACATAATTTTAGCGTCTGGTCCATAATTTAACAGGCAATTGTACTTTTTGTATAAAGGGGAGAATGTATTTTGTAACTCCTCCTAGGTGCAACAATTAATCTGGAAAGTGGGGAGTTTTTTGGAGGAAAGGAAGGGGTGCAAGATTGACGAATTCGTTTTCCAGAAAGAAGCAAGGGAAAATATGAAAACCACACCAATCTTGATTGTAAAATAATCCATATAGCTCATGAAACAAATATTGAGCATTGGGTTTTCTCCGTCAAATGAGATGGTAATTTCATCATGCATACTCTACGTATTCAATCCATTATATAAGAATGAGTTTTTTTAATAATTATCTAATATAAATATTATCAAATCCAATTTAAATTAAATTCAAACTCATCTCGATATATATATACACACACACACACACACACTCGTATCATGTGAGCATATATATATATATAGTAGAAATTTCATCTATGAGTATCCATTATCATTTTTTTTTCTATAATAGAATTTTTTCTGAATAAATGAGAGAGATTTTTCTTTCCTTCTTATGTTTAGAAGAGAGAAACTCTTGATACAGGTATTATGGTGACTACATTTTTTTTTTATTGAAGATCATATTAATTTTGTTATTTGTTAATCGGTAAGTCAGTTTGTATAAAATATCGGCTACATATTTGTTCAATCATGCTTAGAATTGGATTATTATATATTTGTTCCTAATCCTAAAATATTGGTTTTTTCTTTGAGTAAATTAATTTTTTATAATATGGATTTAAGAAACTAATGACTGAATAAAAATAGAAGGATTCAATATCATGGGTTTTTTCTTTAAAATTAGAAGGATAAAATAATTATTCAGATGAAAACACAGAGATTAAATAATATATATATGATAACGGCATAAGCAAATTGATTGGAAGAGAAAAATAAAGGATTCCATGTATGCACGGGCAGAATGATGTCAAAAGTTTTACTGCAAGAGCTTCTTATCTTTCCAAGACAAGCTAGCAGCGTATCCTCTTTCTGATCTAAAGCTAAGATCTTCAGATGGGATGTAGCAGAAATTGAAGAAGCAGTACTGTGTAAGTGTCGATTACCCTATATATAATATCTCCATCTATATATATATATATATATATAATACACACACACAGCAATAGTTGTACCATTATATCTGAGCGCAACTAGAGGTTAAATATATATATTTATGCGTGACATTTTAAAAATGCTTGAGCTGATTTGGTTAAGAATTGCTATGGATACTGTTGAGCAAAGAGCATTTCCCGGACAAAAACAGAAGACACCTCAATAAGACAAAAAGGAAAGTGTACGAGAGGCGGGTGCGAGAAATTACTAAGAGAGACCCCCAAGATAAAATCCTCTCTCTTTTGCTGAATACCAGAAGCATGAAAGGCCGTTGCAGGGGAAATGCCAACGGAGAAAACGGAGCCATTTATTACTTAATTATACTGCAATGCAAGAACCACAGACAGATCATCAAGCACAGAAAAGCTGGTAATTCAAGTGGAGAAATAATGCAAGGTTAAAGAAGGCCAGCGTCCATGCATATGCATGCTGCTTCGACCCTTTTTAACAATCAAATCAACTGTGTGGTGAACCGTAGTAAAAAAGAAACGAAGATAAAATCGCACTGTTTGCAAGATAATGATGACGTACTTTTGCAATGATGACTCCTCCTTTTAATGCCTGCCCAGGCCTATCTCCCTGCCTTTCTCTTTCATACTCAACAGTACAAGAACTGCTGACGCATGCATATGGGTTTGATTGGAGTCGAATTGTCTCGATTTTACATGTTTTCACATGATTTGCATGATGATTTGCAGCGAACTATGACCTGTTAATTTTCAGGACATCAATATTTGTGTCCTGCCGTGGTAATCTTTTGAATCTTGGGTGTAGGCACCATGTTTGAGTAACGGGGTTTGGCTGCTCAAAAACCCAGGGAACAACTCCTCCAAAAAAGGTGATTCTAAGAAGCCTCTGTAAGGACCTCCAACGATCGAAAACGTGTCGCATAGACGGTCGATAAATGCTAGACTTGCACCGCTAAATTAACCGTTATTATAAGCAGGTAGCTAGCATTGACAGAGAGACGAAAGGGAAAATTAAAATAATATACATATAGCCAGTGGGGAATATCGGTGGAGCTTTTGATTGTTGCTCTATCAGACATTACTGACAAGGAAAATGAAAACCCTGGAAGAGTGGGAAGTTAATTAGGATGCGAGAGGGAGGGAGGGATGAAAAGAGTAGTATAGTACAGTAATTTATAGATAAACTATAGTTCTTAAAATATACATAATTTTATAAGTTTTTTTAATCGAAATAAACTACAGTTATTAAAATCTCAATCATAAAAAGTTATAATTTATAAATCATTTTAATTTTTTTCTTTCCCAAACCACAACTGTAACAGCCATAACAACGATGCCGAGCTCACGCTATGGAGTCGATGGATAGTTGACGAGGATAGGCGTTTCAGCAGGTGAAAGGGACGGTTTTGAAGGCAGGGGGTATCCCGACAGGGGCACGCCAAACGACACCAAAATTGGGCTAGCGAGAGCAGTCAGAGACTAATTTGTAAGCCCTAGCATTTATTTCGGGTTGTCCGTCTGACCTTTCCTCCAAATCCCCATGGCGTTCATCCATCCATCCATCACACAGCATTTGCCCCACTCAATGCCATGGCATTTATTGGACAGTGCCAACACCATGACCAAGCTTTATGAATCATGCAGAACAAATCAGAGAGAGAAGGCATATGAGTATGACTTGACTAAACCTTTCTTCTTTCTATTCCTTCTTGGAGTTTGGCATTTACACGCTTCCCCGTGCTCTAACATGTAGCGGGAAGTAGCATACAGACACACAGTAAGAGAGAAATGAAGAAGAGAATGCAAAGAAAGAACAAAACAACATTTTCAGCAGCAACGTCTGTGATCTGGTAGCCTCTCTCTCTCTCTCTCTCTCTCCATCCCTCCCCTACGTACCTTAATTACATGCCTTTTGTCCCCCCCCCCTTCCAACCCTATCTTTTCCTC